GCTGCTTTTAAGTAATTTCATTGGGAAATGAAATTTAAGAGCTTGAGGCTGTAAGTGAAATATCAATTTATAGAAGTTGTTAATTTACAAATGTATGTGCATTGCCTACTATGTATTTTAAGCTTTCCTACTATACTAACATTCAATACAATGTAAAATTCATTCCTCAGTTGCACTGGCTATAACTCAAGCGCTATTAGGCTTTATATGGCTAGTGATTGCTATTTTGAACAACAGATACAAAAAAACTTTCATCATAGAAAGTTCTGCTGAACCAGGGTTGTTTTTAGTAGTGTCAACAGTAAAGTATAAGCCCATTTATGATACCAGTTTTTATGGCAGTTTGAATCAAACTCTAGAAGCTAAAGTGTATGCCTCATCTTGAGCATACATCCTTTAAATATGTAGCAGACCCCATCTTGAGTATATAAAACTTAATTTTTCCTGAAACAATTTTCTTATTTATGCTCATTCAAAGTGAAATGGTTTCTTGTAGCAAAATCCATGAAGCAGTACAAAGCCAGGGATTTATCCTAAAAGTGAATCCTGACCCCAGGACATAGTAGTTTAATAACTTCCTTTAAGTCACTTCTTTGTGTTCAGGTATCCTTATCTGTAAAATGGAGGTATAACATTTGTTACTGTTTAGTATTAATTGAAACTTAAATACATTTAAAAGTATGTAACAAAGTGAAAAAAAAATGTACAAAAAGATGTAAAAATAAACTTTTGTAAAATAAAAAAAATATTAAAAAAAAGTATGTAACAGTGGACATTTATAATACTTCTAAATGTGGAATAAAGCCAAAACATCTAAAAATTGGTAAGCATTGTTATATGAAGTTGACCTGGATTGGCAATTATAGTATGTCTCTACAAGTAGCTAAGTCAGGAATATCATAAAAGTTCCTGGTGGCCATGTCATTTATTATTTGGTGACATTGTGTAGCTGAAACAACTGGAATAACAGAATGAGAAGAAAAAGAACTAGAAAAGTGTTCAAATTTGTTTATGGAGAAGTCCATAAAATACCAGTAAAAATGATAATAAAAATGACTATTTTACATTCAGTGTGTTTTTATAACTTAAAATTTTTCAGATAATCAAAATTTCATTTCTATATTTTGAGTATCTTTATTGTAATATTGAAGAGTTAAAGCAAATTCAAGGTTTACCAGTGTTTTAGAGGTGTTAGATAGCTAATAATAATGAGAATGGAAATTCATATTAAGTTTTTAAATTAAATATATAGTACAGTTTCTACTTGAAAATGCTTTCACTTGATAGCATTTATATTTCTGAGGCAGACGTATATCTCAGAATCTCTGGACATAATGCCTTGCTCTATATTTTCTCTATTTTGAGGCAGAATTTGCTTCACATCAAATGATTTTGTACCACCTCTGTTTTAAAATTATTGCTTTCTTCTAGTCTTTTAACTCTTCTTTTCCTGAATCAGTACATCTATATCGACTCATAGACCAGACAAATAAAACAAATAGACTGATAGGCTATGTGCTGAATTTACTGTTCCAGATGTTTAGATAGGGTATCAGAAATACTTTTTCAAAAGCTACACAAACTTAGTTTCTTGTTCACAATCTTGAGTTATTTATATTGATCAGTGCTTTTGTAGAGAGGGATCCAGAGCAGGCAGCTGTGGTAGCTCAGTCTGTCAGTGTTTCCTATCTGCTTCTCTTATCAGTTTTGACTAGTGAGTAAGCTTACCCCATATATTCCAATCCTAAACATTAACCGACCAGAGGTTTTTAATAATCTGTTCCTAACTGTCTTGAAGATAACTGCAGTGTTCCAGGGCCTGGTATTTTCAGGCCCTGTTTAGTTCTGAATGTATCATATCACTAAGTTCAAAACTTAATTTTGAATGAAACAATGGAGTGGGAGAAGAGACTACTCATAAAAATTCTCTAAGCAAAAAGTAAGCACATTGCATTGTGAGTTTTCAAAGGTGAAAAATACCTTCAAACATATGAAGATTCTATTTCATAAAAACTTTGAAATTTGCAAAGGATGCATTTATTCTGAGATAGTAACTGAGGTTTTGCAATGAGATTAAACTGTGTTTTAACTCAGTTTATAAAAAAAATACTGTTGAGCAGTGCCACAATAGTTAACAAGCTTTTAGTTTTATGGGTAGAGTTCATTTCAGTGGAAACAATTTACTGTGGATCTTAAATTGTTTCTTTATTGAAATGTGCTTGAAATTTTCTTAACCTAGAAAATACAATTTTGGTTATTTTTCATTATTAGAGTTTCGAGAGCTTATGATCAAAATGACTGACATTAATGTGGCATTCTAATCTAACTTAAAAGATTTTTTTAGGTTAGTTCTTACAGCAGAACATTATGTTCTTAAAACATGTATCATTCTGTTAATCATATGCAGATTGGATTTGTCTTTGTTGTCTGTAAATATTTTCTTATAACAGGATAAAAGTTTTTTAAAAATGTTGCAAAAAGGAAATAGATTCGGTAATTATAGAATACCATAAAAGTATTATAGGAGTGTTTTGTTTTTCTTTGAACAATGCATTGAGAAGCCTGTACTTATAGGCATCTACTTATTTTCATTTGGTGTTGAGAATCTGTTATATAACCGTATAGGCAAATTGTGATAATTTTTTTTATTTTGTAAAAGCTGGTCTGTCTCATTTTCCTAGTTTATGATAATTAAGATGTTATGCTTTATTTATTTACTTAGACTTAAATCTGTATGTAATTTTTCCCAAAAAATGGAAAGTGTGATGGCCTGTTTCATTAATTCTGAGGCATACCTTTTTTATACTTTTTAACAGCTATGAAAAATGACAGGACTCTTAAAATTGGCTTGTGTTAGTTTTATGGAAGCATCTTTTCCTTGGTATCATAAAACTAATGATATCTGTTATAATCATTGATGATTTAGGCTTGATATAAAGTGATAGTTGTTTTTTTTTTTTTGATTTGTCATAGGATTTAGATTCATTGTTGTGATGTGATATCTTTATCATGAAGAAACTTTAGGTGGTGAGATATATCATATAATTTGTAATTAAAGATGTTATTTAGGTCTTTTATTGTTTCCTTCAGACACTATTTGTTCTCATCATTATCATCCTTGTGTTAAATGACAAAACTTAAACAATTTGTAACAAGTTTGAGGTCCATGAAAAGCCTTGAGAGATTGTAGTACCTCACAAACAGTGGAGCAGTGCCCTCAAGGGATTTCAGGCAAGAATATGTTTTATAGACGATTGGAAGAAGTAATTTGGAAGCAGAACTTAATTGGACAAAAGGGTTACCTTACTAGTCTAGGCATCCTATTTTCTTGGGGAAGTAATAAGCTAGATAAAGCTGAATTGGAAGATTGTGATCATTGTTAGATTTTCTTGACAATGATGAGCTATTTCCCTGAAGTGCAGACTGACTTAGCTGTTGATTTGTGACATGGGACAGTCCTCTGGGGGAGCTTCCATTTTGTGAGCCCCGATGTATGGGTTAACTTAGGTACTTTGCAGTGAATTCATTCCTTATCTTTGGGAAGCAATCCACAGCAATAAGAGAAAAAAGGGAGATCAAGAGGAGAAAAGATTTGGTGTCAGATTAGGAACCAGATAGATTGAGGGTAGTGTATGGGACCTACATAGTCAAGAAAAGATAAATGGGGGAAGGGAACTTAAGGGAGGTGTTCAGTAGCATTTTTCCAGAAATCTTTTTCTGATTAGGTCTCTGATTGTGCTATATAACTTATGAGTTACCCATTAGTAGCCAAATCACTTCTGCCATATTGCTTAGATTCAAAAACCATCAGCTCTCCTTGCTAAGACCACACTCACTTCAGATTTACAGGCAAATCATCTGCTGGTACCTTCTCTTCTATTCACCAAATAGAATGTTTCCTTTCAATGTGCTGTGCCATTTCAGAATGACTAATGTTACTTATAGAGTGAATTTTTCTACAAGGAGCTATTACAGATAAGTGCACAACTAATTTGTTAGGTTTTGTAGGGGGTATGGGACTATCAGGCACATACTTCATTTAGGAAGAGCTTAGTGCAGTTCACCCCACGCTCGCCTTTATCTTTATTTTTGTTTTCAAAGTAGTAATTATTTATATGGTATAAATTAATATTACCAATTCCAGTTTATTTAACCTTCTATTCTCTAAATTCACTGAGAAAAAATACTCTTCAATAGTTTCTCAGTACTGTTCAGTCTCTCTCTTTTTTTTTTTGCATGCCTAGTGTTACTGTTTGAAAGAGTCACAAGGCATATCTGACTGACAAACTCTATTTTAGGTAAGATCATTATAAGATTTAAAATGTAACATTAATAAAATAACAATTTAAAATTTTAATATAAAACATTTATTGAGATTTAAAAAAAAAATACCCTGTTGGACCCTTGTGAAGCCAACTCTGATTGCTGCCTAGTGGGTGCTTGGCACTGTCATGGAAAAGAATTATGAAGGATTATATCCAATGTCTTAAATCTTCAAATTTCCATAATTCACTCAGAATCAACACAAAGCTTTGATCTACCTTTTCATTTTGTCAAGTTAAGCAGATTTTTCAGTCCTATATTGAGAATAATTTCTTTAAGTTAATTTTATTATTTCAGAAATTTTGCAATTCAGAATAGTATTTTCATAGTTTTTTCCCCCCAGTACATTACATTCTGAACTTTTTTGTACACCTTGGACACCAAATAACTATTAATTAGTAAGAGAAGGATCATGAATTCCAAATTCCAAATAAATGGTTTACTAAAAAAGTTTTATAGCAAAATCCTTTGCAAACTGGAGAATTCTGTAATGTTGTTGCCCTCTATAATGCCTCAATGACATGTAAATGGATGAGACACTGACTTGTGATTAGAATTTCAAATATGGGTGCTGAATTTCATGTATTTAAGAAAAACATGCCAGTCACCACTTTATAAATTTAGCACATAATTCTTCTTGCAGTTTTATTGTCCTGAATTATTTTCTCTTTTCTCAGAGGATGTACTGAGTAAAGATGCTGGGGAATGTGCAATATGCCTAGAAGAATTGCAGCAGGGAGATACTATAGCACGACTGCCCTGTCTATGCATATATCATAAAGGGTAAGTTTATTTTTCTTGAAACTGTCCTTTACCTCCATTTCTTAAAAATAATTGTCTTTTTTTTCCTGCTGGAACTGGAATTCAGACCCACATCCGTTTGTACCCTAAAAGCTGTCATGTTAAGTATTTTCCATGACCCAAGTATTAGCCACAGTTTATTTCATTTAAACTTTGTAACAACCTCATTTTTCAATTAGGGAACCTTAGAAATCTCCGGTCACACAGTTATTAATAAGTGGCAGAACTGAGATTCCAGCTTGTTTATTTGACTCCAAAGTCATTCTGATTTCTCTTATACAAAGTCTTCTTGCTTTCAGAGCAAGACAGAAAATTTGAAGTAAAAAAATTAACTTATCACAAAAAAAAGAATGGAAACTGTAACTTTGAAGTTAAAGAATATGGTGGACTTTTATTTAAAGGTAGTAAGTACAGAAAGGGAAAACAGGGCCCTCCCTCTTGGCAAAACAGGTTAGGATGCAGCACTGCTGTAGCTGCTTCAGTGCAAGTTCGATCCTTGGTCCTGGAGGTGGTCCACATTGTGCAGCAGACCTCTCCTGTCTCACCAGCAGCCCCCTCAGCAGTATGCGTCGTTGATCTGCCAGCTCTGCTCCCCACTTGTCTCTGGTGAATCCTTTTACTGCCCCTGCAACTCTGGCCTGTATCCCAATTCTGTATGCATAAATAAATTAGCTTTAAAAAAGGGGGGGGCAAAACAGTCAGTAGTACAAAATAGACAAGCAAAATACCTCCAACTATAACAAACTCAGCTTGAAAACAGATTGAAAGGTTGTGATGCTTTGATAAGCAGTGCACTTAAATGTGAAAATATAGAAAAACAAAAAGATAGAAAACTGTTTATATAAATACTACAAGAAAGCTGACAAAGCTAAAGATTAGATATCAGACAAAATAAGCTAGCAAAGGCATTTTTTTGTGTATCTGTGTGAGTGTACCTGCACCCAACAGTTAGAGACTACATTTTTTCATTCACACATTAAGTATTAGATATTAATCCTGTATTAGACCATAAAGCAAGTGTTAGCAAACTACAAAGAATTGGGATCATAGAAAATGCTATCAGTATTTAAAAATAAATATTTACACATATTTTTAAGTAACTTGTGATCCTGGAAGAAATCACATTGGACTTTAGAAATAGAACTGGAAAATGAAAACCTTTTTGACATTTTTCTCGAGTGATGTTTGAAAGGTTTGTGTTAAAGGAGAAAAGATTGTAAATCATTAAACCAAAATTTTACTTAAGAAATCAGAAAAGTAAGAATAAACAGAGAAATAGAAGAAAGAAAATAATAATGATAATCAAGAAAAGAAATTATGAAATAAAAAAATGACATATGCTAGAGACCCACATAACCAAAACTTGGTGCTTTGAAAAAACTAATAAAGTAGATAAACTTTTGACAGGATTGTCTTTAGAAGGAAAAAACCAATACAGAAAAATGGAATGAAAACAGACACAATTTCAGACATGGCAGAAATTTTTTAAAATTCGAGGGAAAAAAATGACACTTTTCTACTTAAAGATTTAAACAAAATGGGCAATTTCCTTTAAAATACTTTTCAAAAAGAAATTAAACCTGAATTGTGAATAGTAACTTCTTTGAGTAGTTATTAAAATTAAACCAGGAAAGCAAAAATACTTTTAAAAATTATTTATTTATATATATCTTACAACATTTTTCATTTTTGTAGATTTGTTTTCTGCCCTCAGGCGTAGTCCCCATAGAATTTCCACCAACAATTAACCTGTGCTTTTGTCATTATAGTCCCTTGTGTTCTTCCTGCCCTCATTTTGATCCCTCTTCCACCCTCTCCACCCCTGCAGAGTGTCTCTAATTTATAGTCGTCTGTTTATTTTGGTTTCATTTTGTTGTGGGTTTTATTGTTAGTTTTTTTTCCTGATCCCTCATTTGGTTCCCCTATATTCTTCCTATAAGTGAAAACATTCAGTATTTTTTATTTTTCCTTATGACTTATTTTACTGAGCATAATCCCTTCTAGCTCCATCCATGTTGCTGCAAATGGCTTTAGTTTCTTATTTGATTGCTGATGAGTATTGCCTGTGTATACTGTCATACCTCCTTGATCCTGCCAGTTGGGCATATCAGTTATTTCCAAGTCTTACCTCTTATAAATAGTGCAGTAAACATAACGGTGCAGGAATCCTTTCAAATTAATGTTTTTGTATCCTTTGGGTATCCTTAAGAGTGTAATTGCTGGTTATATGATAGCTCCATTTTTAATAGTCTGAGGAACCTCCACACAGCTTTCCATAGTGGTTGGACAAGTTGGCATTCCCATCAGCAGTGTAGGAGAGTTCCTTTTTTACCACATCTTCACTAACATTTGTTGTTGTTAGTTTTCATAAGATGTGTCATTCTTACTGGTGTAAAGTGGTATCACATTGTGGTTTTGGTTTGTATTTCTCTGATTATGAGGGCTGTTGAACATTTTTTCATATGCCTTTGGCCATTTGCAGTTCCTCTTTGGAGAAGCATCTTTTAATTTCCTCTGCCCATATTGTGACTGGATTGTTTACTTTGTTTTTGGTGAGTTGTGTGAGTTCTTTGTATTTCTTTGTGATCAATCCCTTAGTCGTACAGACTTTGAAAATTTTCTCCTATCAGTAGGATGCCTCTTTGTTTTGGTTAATGTCCCTTTTGCTGTACAGAAGCTTTTTAGTTTGATGTAGTCCCAGCTGTTTATCTTTTCCTTCGCTTTCTCTGCTTTGGGGATGAATCTTTAAAGATGTTACTAAGGTGTATGTCATATAATGTTTTACCTACATTTTCTTCTATATATTTTATGGGTTTGGGTATTTTGTACTTTTATCCATTTTGAGTTGATTTTTGTGCATGGTGTGAGGTAGTGGTCTAATTTCATTCTTTGCTTATGGTGATCCAGTTTTCCCAGCACCAGTTATTGAACAAATTGTCTTTGCTCTATTGCACAGTCTTTGCTCCTTTATCAAAGATAAGTTGCCCATATATGGGTAGCTTTATGTCTGGGCTTTTTGTTTAGTTCCTTTGGTCTATGTGTCAGGTTTTGTTCCAGTACCATACTGTTTTCATTATTACGGCTCTGAAGTCTGGAAATGTGACGCCTCCACTCCTTTGTTTAGTCTTAGAAAACCAAATTTAGCAATATATATCAAAATTACCTCATAACCAAGTGTGATATAAGCTTGGAATAAGAAAACATAATAGTAGAAAATCTGTATGTATGTAATTAATCATATTAGCGAAAGAGAAAGCTTCTAGTAACCCAATAAACAAAATTTTCATTAAAATCTATACTTACATATGAACAAATTTAATATAAAAGCAAAGAATAAATAGAGATTAAGAGTTTAGCAAGTCTGTCAATATAAGTACAATATGTGAAAATCAGTTGCATTCATATCCCAAAAGAAAATATAACTTTAGAAAAAAAGCATAACACTAATGACCACAGAAACTTCATTGGCAATAGGAAGTTATATTAGGTACATAAGTCCTACAAAAGATACTCAGATCTTTTCTTTAGAAAAAGTCTTAAACTTTATTGAAAGATATAATAGAAGATCTAAAGTATGTGAGAGTATACCATATTTTGGATAGAAAGACTTAATGTCATAAAATTTCACTTTTCTCTGTATAGTTAATATCCCAATCAAACAGTAACTAGTGCTTTCATGTAACTTGGCAGATTCTAAAATGTATATGGATCAAAGAGCAAAGGGCCAAGAACAGTCAGAATACTCACTGAAAAGGAAATGATGCTGGGGTACTTGTCCTTCATAAATTTACTATATGACTATATTAAGTGTGGAAAGACACAGGCCAGTGGGGTAGAATCAACCTCCATACACACTGATGTAGAAAAACAACAGGACATAGGGTTGGTAGCATGGACTCTTCAGAAGCCAAGACTCCCAAAGTTCAAATTTCAGCCCCTTGACTAGCTCACTGTGGTCAAGTTACTTAGTTTCTCAATCTGTAAATTTGTTACAAGATTTTAACTGCATTAAATTTTAGTTAGTGCTAGTACATAATAGATGTTGTATATAAAATTTTGTTCAATGAATGAAAAAAAGATTTACCAGAGGTAGTTTAACAATGTAATAAACAATGTAATAGAGAAAGAGGTATTCAGTGGATGTTACTAGGATAAATTGGTTATTGGTATCAAAAATCATTTGAAATAAAAATTCCAGATTAACTAAACAACTGTGTATGAAAATCCAAATCTGACATGTGTTGTAAAGACTGTAGAGAAACATGCTTGTCCTTTTGGTCAGAAATTATTTGTGGGCGGAGGGTAGAATGTAGGGAGGGGGTGTAAAATAATCTCCTTACCCAAAGAAAATTTACAAAGAAAATGACTATGTTAAAATTTAAAACCTCTTGCATGTTGATACTATGAAAAAGAAACACCATCAGACTTAGAAGAGTTTTTTCTTTTTAAATAAATAAAACTACAAAGGTTTGGTACCTAAAACAATCCCATTGTGCAGTTAGCTCACCATCTTATCCCTGTTCTCACACATCAATGTTTTGGTCCATCAAATAAAAGCAGATTAGAGTATATATACTGGCAGAGCAAGCTGTAGAAAATTATGGTACTGAAAAAAAAAAGAAAAAAGAAAAAAATTTTAAAAAGAAAAAAAAAGAAAATTATGGTACTGTAAGGAGACAGATGTACTCATGTTCTCATACTCAGTTCAGTTTAGACAAGGGACTTTGTTTTGAAAGTGTTTAATTTACTTCATTGTTCTCAGATTCTGTGCATTGGCTGTCTCCCTAACACAGCAGCATCAGTTTTTCCTTAATCCTCATTACGTTTAGCTTCATTCTTTCTAAAAACAATCCTGTAGATAGAACATTATTTTATTTAGGAAAAACATAACCTTTTCCAGGTTACAAATTATATGATTTTCTTGCATGACTTGCTTTAACCTGTTTTTTTTTTTCTCTTCCATAGTACCTGTTACTTTTAGTGCACAATTTTCTGAAAAGTAATGTTCATCAGATACGGTGTACATTTTATTATAAATGAAATATCTGAATGATTGATTTCTATATTACTTCCTCTCAGAAAAAGACAAATTGAAATAGAAAATTTGAACAAATTTTAATAGTCAGTTCAGGAAAAAAAGAACCCCAAAGAGACAATAAACATGCAAATCTAAGTTGGTATACTTGGCAGTCATTGCTGTGGCTGTACATAGCCTGCAACTCAGTGATTCTGATTCTAGGTTTATGTGTTGGAGGAATTCTTGATTTGCACTAGAACAGTGCTTCTGCTCAACAGCTAAACTAGCTTAATGTGAGAGTATAACCAATACAATACTTTCTTCATTTATTCTTAAAAATGATTTTAAGCAACAACAAAAACAAGCCAATCAATGTGTTGAGCGGCAAAATTAATATATATTATGGCTTAAGTCCTTTACATTTTGAGAATTGTTTGAAAAGCCACTATGTGGTAAATTTGCTGTGTGCCTGTGGACCACACTTTGAGTAGTTGAGTAGCACTTAATGTACTACATATCAGAAAGTTCATAACATCACTGGAAGTGTATATCAGTAAAAGAATGAATAGGTAAATTACAGTGTGGTTATGTGATGGAATACTATGTACACCGAAAATGGAAAACCAGGGCTTTACTTATTATTAAAATACAATTTGAAATCTCAACCAAGAAGGGGAAGGGTAGGCCGAGAAAAGCAATTAGAAAAGGTATACTTCTTTATGGTAACATTTATATAAAACTGAAAACATAGGAACAATACTCTTATTTTGTTTTGGAATATGCTTTTTGTGTATAGTTATAGGGTAAGAAAAGTGCCTGTGAATGAAAGCACCAGATTTAGCATACTGTGGTGTTTTTTTGGTTGTTGTTGTTGTTTGTTTGTTTGTTTGGCTAGTATTGAGAGAAGGGAGCATTTTAATAATGTGGGTAGATAGCAATTACTGTGCAATGGACTTCAGGTTTTAAATTATTGCTTTCGCAAGATGAGGCAAAATTACATGGTTATAGAATAAGAGAAACCCATTTTAAGTCATATGCTCTTCAGATATAATGTGGATTCTTAATAGCCTAGAGTATTCATGTTCAGTTCTTAGTATTTCCTTGTAAGAAGTATTCTGAAAGGCCATGGAGTCTCTAACCTGGGTGAGAAGAATAAACAAATGGGCTGAAAACAATGCCATAAGCCAGATTTCACATGTTTATTTAGATAACAAAAAAGACTTACTGACAAAAATTGTTTTAGACATTTAAAAGAATATCATGTTGAACAGATGTTTTAACATTATAATTTCATCCATCATTGATATGAATTTAAACCCTTAGCATATCAGCCAAGCTGTCTAGCTTTGTGTTGCCCATGCAGGTTTGACATGAGTGAACAATGAAATGTTATTTAGAGCCCCATTTGGGTAGCTTACTAGCTATTGGGCAAGTTACTTTAGAAGGTCTTTACCTTCTTGTTTATCACATTGAAATAGAAATTTCTGTAGTGACAGAAACGTTCTGTAGTTCAGTAATTTCAAGTAATTGAAATGTGATAGTTGTGACTGAGGAAATGAATTTTACTTTAATCTTGATGAATTTAAATTTAAATAGTTACATATGCTCATGACTACTCCATTTGAACAGTGAGGTATCATTTCACTTTTTAAAAAATATTTATTTATTTATCCATACAGAACTGTGGTATAGGCCAGAGGTGCAGGGGTGATAAGAGGAATTAGCAGAGGCAGAGGGGGGAGCAGAACAGGCAGATAGACAAAGTACACTGCTGAGGTGGGAGCAGCAGTTGGGTCAGGAGAGTCTGCTACGCCTTGTGGGTCAGCTCCCTGGCCAGGGATTGAATTTGTGCAGAGGTGGCTTCTTTGAGCTTCATGGTGCTGCCCTTTAACCCATTGTGCCACCAAGGAGGTCCACTCATTTCACTTCTAATAAAATCGTTGAGTACTTTACAAATGCAAGTGGATAATGGTATATTTATTTGTATGTGTGTGTATAACAGGATAGATTTAAGTATTCAGTATTCCCATATAATACTGTCTTTTAAAATGTGGTCCAGTATTGTAAAGAAGTTAAAATAAAATGCTCTTCATTCCATTGATTGGTGTCATGAACAGGTTGATTTTTGCATAAATGAATAGCTAAGAAAAGAAATAGTTGTCCAGATCTGTCATTATCGCTTTTGGTTATGGTTGTTATGTTGAATCTTTAAAGTACTTTTTTAGCATAATTTTGCAAGGATTAATTAACTGGTTAGAATAATCCAAATGTAATAAATATTTCCTTGTCTTTTATTTACACATGCCAAATATAGTCATTAACAATGTAAATTTTTTCCTGCAAAGAACTATCAAAGAAATAAACAATTTTATTATAGTTGTCTTGATATAAAAAATTAAATGTATTTCAATATTTCTTCTTTCCTAGCTGCATCGATGAATGGTTTGAAGTAAATAGATCTTGCCCTGAGCACCCTTCAGATTAAACATCAACTTCTACTTTTTAGGTAATTCTCACTTTTTCTGTATTACGAATTGTACATTCTCATTTCATTGTTTATTCATTGAACTGAACGTGTGTGTGTGTTCAACATGTGTTAAGATACCATTTTGAAAATTCATGTGGAAGGTACATGATAAAAACACTAATTTTTATTAATATTACTATATTTATTTATTTTACATTGTTGTTAATTTTGTGCAATGTTTGATTACTCTCCTCAGGTGTAATCCCCATAAAGTTTCACCACTGAATCACCTGCGAACTGTCACAATAGTCTTTTGTGCTTTTTCCTCCTGTTTTGACCACACTTCTCCTTCTGTATGACTTGCTTTTATAGTATGGCTGCTATTTTTGTCTCTTTTTCCTGACCCCGTTTTAGTTTCCCTGTATTCTTCCTATAACTGAAGCCATTTGATATTTTTCTTTTTTTGACTTACTTCACTGAGCATAATGCCTCCCATGTCCATCCATGTTGCTGCGATTAGCCTGAGTTTGTCTTTTTTTGATTGCTGAGTACTGTTCCTTTGTGTATATATAACACATCTCGTGATCCAGTCATCTGTTTGGGGGCATTTAGGTTGAAAAATAGCTTTCTTAATGCATGAGGAGAGTCATATATTAAGTGACTTTTGAATTCTTGGTACCTTAAAACACTTTAGTTTATTTAATTTTAGTTAAAAACAAACAAACATGGGCCCTCCCTGGTGGCGCAGCGGGTTAAAGCAC